TTCGGCTTTCACATTTTCGGCTAAAATACTGTCGGCTGTAATATTTTCGGCTAAAATATAGCCCCTCCGATGCGCCGTCCTTTATTTGTATATTTTAAAATGATGTTAAAGAATAATAATATCGTAATCGGCTAATCTATTACTAAAAAATGTAATTTTTTTTTTCATTTTTACATATTTCTTGTTTTATCCTATTGATTTTATTGTATAATTTAAATAATTACGTGTTATACACTTAAATAGTGGTATAAATTATAAATAATTAGAAACTACATTTAAAGTATTCTTTTGAAGTTTATGTTCTAGTTTTTTAAAATTACTCCTAAGCAAGCCTGGAAAAAAAAGAGTTAAAAAGTTGGAGTTAAATTAATTTTAACCTATTAACATAACTTTAAACTTAATATTTAACTCAACTGTTTGTTTACGATATAAACTTAATAAATAATGATTTACTTTTGATGAAATCCAAGTTGCGTCAATTTATAAAAAATTAAATAATAATAATATAATTCAATATTATTATTGATACATATTGGGTAGACATTTACTTTTTGTTATTTTAAACCATATTACTAGCTATTTGTGTATTTAAAAAATAAAAAAATAAATAACTTAACTTAAGTTCATAAGATAATTGTAAGATTTCATATACCTAACGTTTAACTTAACTGAGTAAAAAAAAAATTAGAATAACTATTAACTTTAAACTTTTTAAAATGTTTTATATCAACTTAATTTAACTGAGTTAAAAGTTATCATTATATTGCCCAGGCTTGCTGAGGATCGTAAAATGAAGTATTGATATCTAACCCAAAACAACATATTATAGAAGGAAAAGACAATGATTTTGATTTTGAATTGATGAGAGGTATCACATGCTACATATTTTGAACATAGAATTTGCAAACTTAAACTTTTACATTAACTCTTACTGTTTACTCAATTCAAATAAGACGCGTTAAATTAAAACAATAATATTTAAATTAAATACAATTTAAGATACATTGACGATTCGTACTGACTGAAAATACTGATATAGTACCAATCTGTAGAATGTGTGTCGTTGTATCGATCAACTCAAATATTATCCAAATACGATACGAAAAAATGTACTTTTTCTGTTGATATTATTGTAGAGCGTCTGCGTGGATACTAATGAACTCATGTCCGGAAAATGTATGTCATACACTCATATGTTAACAAATGTAATCAAAGTCATCGGTAACGGGCTATAATAAGGTAGAACTAGTCAACCAAATTATGTTTCCAGTAGTTTTTATATGTTTGTTCATTTATTTATTCAGATTAAATTTTTTTGGTGTGATAATTTAATATGATCACTATTTTTTTTTATGGAAACAAGATTAAGTACTAGTCATTTTCGGGAAACAAATATAATCTAAACCATATTTTGTGTACTTTTCCATCACCGTACTCCCTGCAGGCGTAAATGTAAAATGATGTTAATGAGAATTTACTGTTCTCGGTATGTTTTAAGTTTGTTTCCTTTATTTGTTATATTTACGGTATACTATCTAATACCAAAGCACTTTTTGTTTAACAAAATAATAAATTATAACCGGATTTAAAATATCAATGCAGCTCTTATAAATTGTAAATCTCTCATAAATGTTCTCCGAAATGTTACAAGCTTTATTGTTGTTGTATATTGTTTTAAATATGTATATTATTGGTTACATTACTGAAATAAATAATAAAATATATATTTTCCTTTACAACTCAAATAATGCCCTTACTTACATACATAATTAATGGAAAATAAAATGAATATGAATTAGATACATTAAATTTAATTGACTGTGGGCTGTGAGACATATATAAAAATCAAATTTCGCGGGACTTGGATCAATATAATAATTATCTATATTATTTATTCGATATATGAAATCTATTTAAAGAATTAAGAAGTTGAGAACTTAGTAGTGAGTTTTTTTCGACTAGTAATGTTGATAATTATTGCCTTTAGTGTATTATGGTTAATAAATTTATAATACTATTTTGTTAAATCAATAAAACTGACTTAATTGTCATGACTTCGCTAATAAACACTGTGAACATATTTTATAAATTCGACAAGGAGAACAATATTATTTGACTCTTAGAATATCGTAGGTCGATGTTATAGTGTAAATTACAGTGTTGAGTTTATCTAGATAATTATTCTTTTATCTTTTATCTTACCTAGATAAATAGAGAACATTTATCTACAAACTTATCTAAGATAAAAATCACTATTATCTAGATACAGTTATCCAGACAATTTAATTTATTCAGCGGGTTTTATTTATAACTAGCTCTCCGAAAGTCGCTGGGGGAGCCTCCAGACCTCCCCCCCCCCCCGGTGGGCTGAGAGTGGATTTCGGTCCACGGAGAATGAGTCATTGCAATTATAAAAGTCGCGTTCGTAAGTGGGTTCAACCCCAAAAGTCAGAGAAGGTGATAAGGGGCTTTGGAGAGTGTCTTTTCGTAGGCGGAATTATTTGAAAAGTATCGGAAAAAAATGCAAAAAGTTCAGGAGGCCGTAAAAAAAATAAATAAAAAAAATAATTTAAAAACAAAAAATTAATAAAAATAAATAAAAAAAATAAAAAAAAGGATTGAAAATAATTTTTTTTTAAATTTTTTTCTTTTAAAAATTTCTTTTTTCAAACATTTTATAAATACAGTTTATTTACTTATGCATATTGATGATTGTCTAAAAAGGGATGTACATATTAATAAGTTATTAATTAAGCAAATTTAAATTTTTTATGTATTTAAAAATCTGAAAAATATTTTGAATAATAGTTATACTATATGCTCTATTGATCTAATACAATATTAATAACTACTATGATTAAAATAAAATATACATAAATTATTATATTGCATATTTTATAAGAAGTGAGTGCTACAAACCAATAAAATAAATTATCCGATAATTTATCTAGGTAAAATATATTTTTTTTCATCTTTATCTAGATAAAATTATATTTATTCTGGGCTCAACACTAAGTGCAATACACAAACATTTGTTTATAAATCGAAATAGTTGAAATGTATTATTGTGATAAATTATAGGTACTACGAACCACAATTTATTATGATATTTGCAAAATGATTAAACTTCGTCCCAAGAAAAAAAATAAAAAGTGCAACAAAAACTAGGCCTTGTACATCCCATGATACTCATGTCATCAATTACTTGCTCTGTAGAAGTGATGCAGCGGCCTAGCGAACATTTGTTGAGTGGAGAGAATTAAATGGCCAGTCATCCACTCTAATTATTATTCCTCATTATTTCACGTGCTCGAAATTGCACAGTTCTCTCATGAGACAAAGTAAACAGTACTATACACTGTGTCTACGACAGTTTCTAATACATCGTTTAGTAATGACTGAATACACGTGTACATACTATATAGATGTATAGTGAAATACACTCTCATAAATATTTTTTTTCTAATTTTTACAATTCCACCAAAATAAATATACCCCCAAATCCAACTATATCCATCTATATTTTATATATTTTAGTGAAAAAGTTATCAGTTTTAGTGCTAATCATGTAACAACCTATCAAAGAATTCCACTAGTCATACATATTTTTACACGTTTTATCGATTGCATTTAGGCACGATGACTGTTAACTACATTTTATTTTATTTTTATTTTTATAAGTTACTAGATATATATATAATATATATATATAGGTCCACACCGTTATTGTCAAAGTATTTGTATCGTAATTTCCTACAATAGATAGATAACATAATATCATAAAATATTTTCCATATCAACAACATTTTAATCAGAAAAAATTAAAAACAAATCAAATCATGATGTTCGTAGAATTTTTATTTATACATTTTGGTGAAAAAAAAATTTAATATGAAAAGACTTCATCTTTTTGTGAAAACGTTTGGTGTTTTTGGACCATATATAGAATATTATTTATGGAGTTCATACATAGTAGATATTAACTGGTTCACTTTGAAAGGTATAGTTTTTTTTTAAGAAATCAAACAAGAGTGCAAGAAAGAAGTTTAAGAATTTATATCAAAGTCGTCATACCAACAATGTATTGGAGGAATGTGGTTATTATGAATCAACTTAAAAATGATAGGTTTTTGTGACAATTCAAAAAAATACATTTTTAATTAAATTATTTATATTTGTTCGACCTCGTCATCTATAATAATTATTAAGTACTAATGAGAAAGGTTCCACACAAATGTTGAAGTAAAATTAAAATAATAGATACATATTAAAAATATAAACTTTATCACAGGTATAATAAAAATGTATGATATATGAAGTAATTATAAGGTGGTCACACAATACGACAAATTTGAGTTTTTTTATTCAATGAAACACTGGCCAAGTGAACCACGAAAAACATCTATAAACAGATAAAATTGATATAAGTAAAGCTATAATACACACAAATCAAATAAATATTTTTAACTTTTTAATGACATTCGCAAAGAAGCTACCTTTACTTACTGTATTTTAACACATTCGCTAAGCTTAACATGTATAACCCACATGCATTCCCATTTTTATGGGAATAACACTTTTTTCTTAGGTTTTTTTATGTAAATTAAATTAAATATAAGGCTTTTATTTAAAAATATATAATATGTATTTTAAATTAAAATATGCAGTGAATGTGTTAAAAACATCTAGACTTTTTAATGATTATTGATTTACCTACCTGTAACAAAACATTTTTTATAACGTTTGTCAGTAAAAGCAAGAACAGTGGTTAATTTTAATTATTGCAAAAATAAAACTTGACAAATAGCATTCAAAATCACTAATAAAACAATTAATATATTCAATTAAAAATGATTTGCTTTACTTTTAATTGTAATGCATGGACACAAAATTATTGCTAATCTTTAATTCAAAAAGTAATTCATATTATTGACAACTAAGTGTTTTTGTTGTTATATTTAAAAAAAAATGTAATCACATGTTTGATACTAAAATAAATAAAATAATAGTAAAAGACATTCATAATAATTCCAATTTTATTTAGAACATACATATTATATAAATAATAATTAATAAAGCAAACAAAATATTTAAATAACATAACACTAATAAGTAGAAGCCTATAGGCTTGAAAAGCAAAATGTATAAATAAAAAAAAATATTAAACATAATATTATGAAGGAAAAAAATTGTCAAGAATAATACTGGATAAAATAAACATATAGTAATAAGAGCATGCCTGTATGAATAATGATGTTATAATATACGAGTATAGGGACATAGGGTTTGTTTTAAAATGTACCCACGGTCATTAATATGGGTGTAAAATGTGCTAGTCATGTACAATTTTGAAAACATGTTTTCATTTAATGTTTTGTACTGATTAAATTCAAATTTATCTGTATTGTTTTCATTTATTTATCAATTTATTAATTTTTTTTTAAAACTTATTTAAAGTAATAATTCAATAGGTATTTTGAATTTTCTCTTTGAAGTAATCAAACATCAATATAAATAATGGATTTTCCTGACGTAATAGTACCTATATATCTACCTAATTAAGTATGTTAATCGGGTAATAATAACATTTTTTTTTAGTTACATTATTTTGTAAATTTGAAATGGGTTGTTTAAAAATGATTGACAGTTAATTAAAAATTCTACACATAGTTTGGTACTATTTTATTTTAAATTGTGCTTGGTAAGATATATTTTAGTGTTTAGTCTAGTACGTCATGTTTTTATTATAGATTTATATATTTTTTTTTATCTTGTAGTTTTTACTTGAAAAATGTCTTTGATACTGTTAAAAAAAACTGTAAATATAATATATTGTATTTACTATTTCATATTACTAAAAACGATCACAATATGAAGTACGATATGCATGAAATGATTTAAATGGTTGAAATCAATGACTACACTATTTAATTTTCTAAGCAAACATGCATTTCAATAACTATTGATTTTAGGTGGGTGAACATTTATTTACTATTATTATCCGAGAATTATTCGAGTTGGGAAAGTGAAAAGAAAACTCAATGATAGATAGCTTAAGTAGTTGCATTGACATTAACAACATTTAAAACAATATTGTATCTTGTAAGTAATAAATAGGAAATTCATAAAAACTAAATAATTTACAAATTTTATCATATGCATTATGCATACCTATCTATATTCATACATTGTATTAGCTAGATGATATGGAGGTATGTATATTCTAATAGGTAAAGTTGCTATAAAGTTAATTTGTATTAATTATATATTTAGAGTAAAAACGAACATACACACCTCTTAACTATAATTTTTAACACCTAGTACATAATGAAATTGGTAGTTAAATGTACTTACTACTTAGGTATAAACCTTGATATAGGTATGTTTTAAATAAGTTTAATTTGTTTTTTCATATTGTATCAAGTTCCAAGTTAAAATAATTCTGATAGTTCTTAGCTACATTTTTACTTAAGTCTTTGGTACAAATATCTCTGAACTCTCCAAACAAAAAACGAAGTTAATGTTTTTTTTTTTTTAATAATCATAACATTTCAGTTTTTCTCAATGCCATATTATATGCCAATTCTTAGCAGGTTAAGAAGACTATTTTTTTTTTTTTGCAACTACATTAAAGTTTAATTTGTCTTATATAATAAGTTGGTTAAATTATCAGCAGTTTAATTCGTTTAATAGGTATTTATGTATTTTATAACAAACTATGCACGTTGTACATATTATTATAATAATTATATAAATTTACTAATACACCTGTTTTATAGTTTTATTATCTATATCTCGGATCTCGCTTTAATAAAGTGCAAAATAATTTGTTTTTGAATATTCTAATCGTTTAAGCAAAATTTTTAATTACAGCCTAAATAAAAAATGTAATTCTTGGCATTAGATACCTACAAAACGGGTGTTGCAAATTTGTTGTATGCAATTACCATTATTGGGATGTATGACGAATCAACAGTGCAAATAACAATATAATATGCTGGTTAATAGCATAAAAATAACATGTAAGATTAAATTTTTATGAATTTCCACACGGTTTTCACACTGCTCGATAAAAAAAAAGATGTGTAGGTAAAGTTATCTGTCTGCGTACGTTTACAATAATTATTTCTATGGAAAATAAAAAAATAATTTAATCACAGCTAGTGTGCTACATTTTTTACATTTTTTAATGTATTTTGCACGACTAACCCATTCATAGCTATGAGTAATTTCGTTCCTTCCAGCCGTCGGTTTGGGGAGTAGACGAGATATGTTTATATATAGCTATATATACTGTATATAATATTTATGTATAATATATAATATATATACAATATTATGTACATGTATAATGTATATATATGTATATATCATTTAATAATTATTATATATGTACATATTATTATATATACCTACTAACGGACAATATAATAACTGGCACATTTGCTGGTAGTTTTCCAAAAAAAAAATAATGAGTAATAATAATATAATATCATTATCGTGACACACTGACACACATGGTATGTATTATATTATATTTTTATAATATTGTATATTGTATTATTATACGGTCATGCCCAAACACACTCGTGCAGCAGCAGTCTGCAGCCATCGTATATCGCAATCAGAGAGGCTGCTGCGAGAATACTTCGTACGTTGTTCTCATGGAACTGCTGCGACTCACGCTCGTGCTGCCGCCGTTGGCGTTCTTTTTGTTCTGAGGCCTCAAGCAGATGGACTTGACCAACGTCCAGTGTTGGAGCACGTACAGGTACGGGTCCAGAGCGAAGTGCATGGCCAACAGCATGTCCGCGGCGATGTAGAACGGCTTGATCTTCGAATCGTCCAAGAACCTGGACAGCGGTATCGCTATCTGTCGTGGGCCACACAAGTAAGTAAAAATAAATAATTAAATAAAATAAAATATGGGTGTGATCTTCTAAACATATCGTCGTATCCTAATTTATAACAATATTGAAATCGAATAAACGAAATGAGTGTTTTTTGCCGACGACCGATTTCAATATAAGAGTATTAATATATCAATAGATTTCTCGTGATTCATTGATGTGGGGAGGGGTAGTTTAGAGATTGTCTTAAAACCGCTGTGGGTCGCTATAGGACGGCTCACGGACGAATTTCGTTTTAGCTATCGAAAATCGAATAAATTATAATTTATATGACCTATATAGATAAGGTTGCTGCCGTTAAATACAGAAATAATTTTTTTTTTATTCATGTGTTTTGAGTCTAAACTTTAGGCCATACACTACTGGACAAGAACTGTGTATAACAACAGCATTGCAAGCAGCGTAACAACATTTCGCAGTGATGCACACTGTCTTTACGAAAAAATTCAGTGATGTAGCCTGTCTTTATGACAATATACAATAATCTGAATATCTGTACGTACTCGTATATCTTACCCTACCGCCCCAGCACTTCGAGTAATCGAGTAATGAAAAAGCGCCCTCTACGCTGTCAGGCTTTCATTCACTCATTGCTCGTCTAGTAGTATAAGGTCTATAGATGGTTTAGACTAGTCAACGGATGACGTGCCATGAGTTGCCGTGAAATATTTTATAAATAAAAGAAAATAATATTTAATTTCTTGTTTGTTGTTCAAACATAATTAGTTCACTAAGCAATGCCGATGCCTATTTTCCTATGAACGTAGGTACACTGAAACCTAGGTACACCGATATATAGCACCGTATTTTAAGTCTGCTCAGTGAAAGTCGTGTTCTACAGCCGGTCGGTATATTCTATAATATATACATATCATATATTAATACAGACTGTTTACATTGGGTGGAATTTTCAAAAATCGTAGAGCGGGAAGTAAGCAAGCTAAACGAGACCGACACCTACCGTTGTGTAGGGGTGGTTCGAAAGTTTTTTTCAATGGCCGTTAGATGGCTCTTGGCATACCTATCATAGCGGCGATGGGTAGAAACGCTTTCGTTTTTATTAGTTCCTAGCAAAGAAAAAAAACACTTTAATGCCGGGCTGCACGAACAATCACTAAACATGTAACGTATCAATAGTGAGCTAATGATCCCTTAAACATGGTTTAGCGACCCATGATTGGTCCATTTTAATTTTATTGGGCCGATAAATTAATAATTTTTTCATGCAACCCGGCATAAGAAAGTGCGACCGAATATGCGTCATTTTAGGGTACCTGGCTAAGTCGAATTGAAAACGTATAGATATGTATTCTATATTTGTTGCAGCCGAAAAAACTCTCGTGAATCACTTGTTTACAATTGTTGGTAAGTGGTTTCTTGTAAGACAGTAATATTTTAATTTTTATGATTTTTAAAATTTCTCGCATTTTTTGAAAACACTGTATAAATTGTGCAATTCAGCATTGAGATAGTATTATATAAGCCGAATTATGCACTGTAAGGCCTACTTGTAATAAGGGAGTTGGTGTGGGTGTGGGAGATGTGTGGGTGGATGTCCCCTGGGTGACATTTAACATTTTGATCGTGTCCCGCAGCCCACCCGATAGTTACGCATTTTCGAACGACAACAATTTTACAAGTCTAAGCCATTAATCATTTGATGTACATATCGTTAATTTTGGAACTAATTCTTTAATTTTTTTTTATAACTAATGCATTTGTTTAAACTTAAAGTTCGAGGAACGCGCTCATTGTCGATACAAAAAAACGTTTTAAAGTAAAATAAATTATAGAAACAATGTCTGCAATTTTCAACCTTCAATAAATATTTGGATTAATATTATGTGATTATTTACTGTCTTTTTCAATATAAAAAACTTAAAACCAAATTTAACAACACACAATATTATTTACTTAAATCTCCAGTTTGAATGCATTATTAAAATCAATCTTTACAACATAATAATAATCCGTAAAATAGGTGGATCCCTACCTCGGTTTTAGAAATCTATGGTGTATTAAACCTGTAAAAAATTCTGGAAGATAATTTTAATTATAGGATACCCTGACAACCTTCAATATGGTTTTGTTCAAAATATCATTACTAACAAGTAGGTAACAACTTGTAAATACACACATTTTTGGGAATGTAAATCTCAATTATGTAATTAATATAATATTTTAACTATCTGAAAGTTATCAAAACGTGGAGATAATGCATAACAAAATTGACCTAATATTCAGGGTCTTAAACTAACAGCGCAATTATTATTCTTGACGATTAAAAATTGTATTTAACGTGACATATAACACTTGTATTTGTTGTGAGCGTAACACACATACACCCACACACACACACACACACACACACACACACACACACACACACACATACACACATGCGAATACACAATTATAAGTAAAAACGAAATAATTTAAAAACAATATAACGCCAAAAAAATAATTGCGTAATTTCAAATTTTCAGAATGCAATTTTATTCTAGAAAAATTCACGGAAATGAGATAAAAGTTATCTTATAACAACTAATGATTTATTAAGAATATAATATTATAAAATCATGTTAATCCACAGTAAATTAAAAAAATAATTTACACACAAATAATGTCAGATACTGCAGTGTTGTTCTTCTCTCTAATTTGTACAAAAATATTGTCAATGCTATTATAATTATATTGTAATGCCATTATAATTTATAGTATCTAGGTACCTATATGGCTATATAGACATATAGTATTATTGTCCGGTACCTACACATCAACAACTGATAACAGGATCATTTGTTGAAATGGTGGTTTCTCTATACGTCTTTTTTTCTAACATGGATATATTTTTTGGTTTAGTAAAATTTTTTTTTTTTCGGGGTTACGCTTAAAAACACATATCTATGATTCCTCATGCTTTTTTTTTGTTGGAGCATAAGACCGGGGCATTGAGAACTCCTAATACTCTAAATACTCATAAGTTATATCACAATTTTCGTGTTTTTATGCAAGCACATAACATAGTAAAAGCAAAATAAAATATTTCATTACAAAATTTTTCAGCCGTTAAAACAAAATCTATTAGATTGCATTTCTCTATCTAATTGTACTATTTATAATCGCAAAATAATAACACGGGTACTGCGTATTATTATTATATAAGGTGGATAGTCTGACAGACATTATGTATTCATTAATCAGTTCCATCACAGAGCTTGACTATAAATTATCTGGCCCCTCGGGTAAGATAAAAATACCACATAAAATAGTTGATTGAAATTCAACAGTTATGAACTGCACTGTTGCATAATATTTGCGAAGCGAGTATGTAATAATGTGGCATAGTCTACTCGCCTGTCGAAAAATCAGATGCACCAGTAATCAGACGATCTTTAAGTTTTTCACGGTCAATATTTGCATCGATTTAAAATGCACAAACAATAATGTATTCATCGAATGTTTGATCAAAGCCATTATGTTAGGTTTTTAATATTTTTCTTCCATAACGACTTTTAACTTATCGAGTTGAATTTATGATTTGTGATCTGTTAACTATTCTAACTTATCGATCCCGCAAGAACACATCATATTGTGCAATTGTCTTAACTTAACTATTGAGTCGATTATTTTCATTTGATTATTCCCACCTTTGGACGAATACACGGCAGCTGTATAAACGTTCAGTAGCTATAACATATTATTATCGCATTTACCATTTGTGGGACCCAACATGTGACAAACGCAACGCACAGCAAAAACATGAGCCAACCGAACGCTCTTTCCTCTTTGGTAGCCGCATTGCAAGTCAACGATGATCCTCGGCTGATGCGTCTCATTAACACGTTGTGCTTGTTGTGAGGACTGTCCTTCATGCACAGAGCTTTCATGACGGCTAAGTTCGTGTAGACAATTGCGAAGCATAAAAACACGCCTAAATTGTAAACAAAAAAAAAACAAAAACGGAAAGTTTATATTTGGCCTACATACCGACTTATTTAACTAAACACATTTTGGGTGTTATTTTTAAGCATTGCAGATGATCGAACGAAGAGTCATCAATTTTAAAAATGTTAATGTTTGTTCTGATATTATATGGTGGATTTTTAAGTAAAACGTAAAAACAACTTCAAATCTATTTATTTGATTTAAACGTTCGGCTTAATCCCGATCTGCAATCGATAATTTATTGGTATTTACCTTATTTATTTTCGTCTGTGTTCCAATATGTTTTACAACTTCCTCGGTCATACATAATTTCTAATAAAACCCACGATCCGAATTAAAGTTACATAAAAATGTTTTATGTTACATCTTTCGATAAGATATTAACTTATACAGTAAACTGCAATATATTATACTATCTATATTTTACAGTAAAAATATCATTAGACTATAAGCTCTATATCATATTCTATTAGTCATGAAATTTGTTTTAAAACGATATTTCCGTGATACGTATATAGTATACTCGTATTACATAGAAATGAGGAAGTGAATTAATTTTCCTTTCAATAATTCCAAACAATTTTTATGCTCTAATCTTTTATATTTTTAATTAATTGCATGACCCATGACCCGTAGATTAGGTTACCTACTTACCATGGCCGAAATATAAGTAAGCGTATAACACGTCCAAAGGCTTTTTGGCATTCCGGTAACGCACACACGTCGACGTTGTCTCGTCCCAGTAAAGACCGAATCCAAAGTATGGTGCGCACACCAAACACAGTACTCCTAGCCAAAGTATGACCATCATTCGTTTAAGTAGACGAAGGCTAATGTGCTGAAATCACACATATTTTACAATTAATTTTGATTTAGGTAAATATAATATTATAAGTTAGAAAATTAAATAGGGTAATTTCAAATAATTAATTTTGGCGTACGCGTATAGGTTATAAGCGTATTCACTTTGTAGAAAATGCGCAAATCATCATAGCTGTTCAAAGAGTCCCGGTTATTTAAATGTTATATTATTACCATTTAATTAAACCGATTTGAAAAAAATTTTAATTTCTGTTTCCTACATGGGCTGTATACGATTTGGGGCCATATATATATAGGCATTAGTTAAATGTACATTTTTTTTAAAACGCCTAGGCAGGTTTGCCTGATTCCAGTTACAATTCTGTGTTTATAAAAAAATATGCGTTTTAATTTTGTTCTATGTCTTAGTACATGTGTTAAAAAAACATTGACATCGGTTGTTGGATTCAGCCTGATCCTATTGTTGTGTCCTTGTTCCGCGAGACTGTCGTGTTCGTATAGGTGTATTAGTTGGCATTATGTTATTATGCAGATTTTGACTAGCTATATAAGTATCGTACCACAAATTTTAAATGTTAGTTGGTAATTTTTTGCCATTGGGAAATTAGGAATCCACGAGTTAATATTTTATGACCAATAATATACGAAGTCTGCAGTTTATGAGCATAAGGATTTTAATTGGCAAATTACATAGTGATTAACGAGGCACACAAACCTAAACACTTTTCTACTTAAATGTTATAATGTTTACCATACTCATAAATTATTTGTTGGCCTAAACTCGTATATATATATATTTGTATGCGCAGGTATAATTATCCTCAAACATAATCTTAATAATATAAACGGGTACGTACGTAGTTGCATTGTACACAATATGTAAATATTGCAGTCAATACATCGAACTCGTTCAATACAGTGAGCGTTTGATGTTTATACGAGCGTCATATACTATTTTATAGGTACTTCATATTATAGCACAGCAAACGTACAATAAATATTAAGCTAAACAAACATTTACAATAATACAATACATCATACGACACGGGACGTCCCTCGAAAATCAAAAGTTATATTATCAACAGTAATACTACGCGTCCTTTACAATTTCCTGTCCAGTTTATAATAATGTATAGGCAATACCTCAATAGCCGGTGCACAGTTGTATACACGAATAAGGTATAACTGGAAATTTCCTGCATAATGTTATGTACCTTGGCAAACAATATAATATACCCATTTAATAAAGCGCACGGCTGATAAATCGATCCGACTTGTCTATAGCAATGCGCATATAATGCGAATTACTATAATAACTAATATGACATGTAATGAACTCGTATTTCGGTTTGGAGCGGAAACAGATTTTGTCTCATCAAGTCAAAATACGAACTCGTATATTATGCATATGACTATATGAGATGCCTCCACGAGGCTATATATTCATGGAAAGCGATTATATATCATATTATATATACAAACTCGAAATTAAAATAATAAAAATATATCGATAAATTCATCGCTCTTATACAAATATATAGGTCACACGCATACTTCATACATGATATATATACATTTTTTTTTTTTTTTTTTTAGAAAAATGATATCTCTAGGCCCTGCAGGTTATGGAATGGAATATCTCATCATTAGGTAAACTGTCAAATCTGCGAGTGTCCGAACGCTTATATTCTATATTTTTTTTTTGAAACCCGAGCTGTACATATTATGGGCATATGACGGTAGTGTTTTCATTTCAACATGTAGTTAGGATGCCGGATGTGTGTAGAGATTTTTCAAATTTCAAATGGTTATTTTTTATCTAATAAATTTGGATGAAATAGAAAATAGAAAATGGTGTTCACAGTAGCGAAATTCACGCGATTCGTGCAACGAAAAACTGTAATGCGGGTGGTGTTACTACTACAACTCACGACTTACTGAAAAAAAAAAGCTCTAGACTAAAGTAATTAATTTTCCTATAACCTCTGCCGCCTAACCATCCGACCACAGTGTATTCCTACCTGTCTGCTGCGGTGACTCAACAGCCACTGCTCACTCGACCCGATGACTTCGATACGAGTGATAACTGCTGTCGGTGACGCAACGAACGGCGTCTCGACCATACCAAGGTAACTCTATCATAATATACAATAATATATGTACAATGTACATTATTTTATACAATATTGCCAATTACACTCATCACAGCTCTCGGAGTCTACGTGATCGACGCCACATAATAATAATATATAAAATAGATAAATGCTGCGGCGGACTTGACTATTCCACCGTAGCGTTTCCGTCTCGCATTAAAACATCGATACGAGTGCAACATTGGCATCACACTTTAGTATTATTACTATTATTATTATTATTATTATTATTATTATTATTATTATTATTATTATTGTTATTATTGTTATTATTAATATTATTATTATTATCGTTATTATTAGGTGCTGCAAAAGCAAACAATAATATTGTAAACCGTTCGCTTGCGAGCGAGTAATTAAAACGTTTCGCAGATACACACACGCGACGCAAAACACGTGTCGTTTTCCCCTCATCGGGTTTGTAATGGAGCACAGTATTCGCAGGTAAAGGATAGTACAATACCTATATATTATATATATTATGTTAACCTCGTACAATAATAATATAATATTATTGTGTGTGTACGGGCGCTGTATCATTATATATATATATACATTTATATACACCTACGGTATTGTACATATATATGCACATAACTCGACGGTATTACCATGTCGTCCGAGTCGCCGTTGCAACGCCAATACTAACGAGACTGGCATATTCGCACCGTGAATATAAAACACGAATAAAAGTCGCACACATTTTTTATTTTTATTTTTATTTTTTTTTATTCCGTCGTATTATTATTATGATTTGTTAGGAGTTTTTCTGGCGCAGAAATAAGAACTTTCGTCTATGTTAAACGTCTATGCCGGTAAGCCATGCCGAACGGAAACTTTCGGCGGCACTCTTCCATCCGACCACTGCGATGGTGAATATTACGCCGTCCGACGATAAAACCACCATTGTCCGGCTATAGAAAACAATGATAACGTTATCATTTATAAAACACAATATTATTATTTTGCTGTCGGTGGGGTGTAGCGGATACACTTAATAAATAAGGCTTAGAAATGAAACGCGTTATTCGGTAAAAATAATTGAACAGGTCGTGTTGTGGACAGTCGTGGACATCGGGTGATTATTGTTGTTGTGTATAAGTCATTACAATGTTCGGCGTCGGAAAATAAATAACTCGTCTATCCGAATGGATTTGATTTTAATGAAAGTCGGACGCCAAAAGTGTACCTATACAATTTAATATTTATGTTTTTGAATAATAATAATATGTGCTACGACTGTAATGAGTTTATTGTCGAATTCGATTACAAAAAGACGCGTATGATAATATGTATAAGTGTCGTGACGAATTCATTAAATTATTATTATACTATTATAGTTCCTCCTTCCTGCCACGGTAAACGGAAAAGAAAAGATTTCTGTGCATGCGTGTGTGTATATAATATTATATATAACTTATGTATATAGCATATTTTGTTTTTACTAACGACCTTCAGTGTCATTAATCCAAGACTTTGCAGTTTGCCTGTATATTATAGAGTGTCACAAACAGAATAATAATTTTTAATCGGCAAAAATAGAATATAATAATAATTGCGTTGTTTGTTTTCATCACCTAATGCATCTATATGTAATGCATGTCGTGTTTTCATCAACAGACATACATTTTCTCGAAAAAAACTTGCACGCCACCAGCCGAACACCGTTTTTATTTTTATCTGCTTTTTCACACTCGTGGTCTATATATATTATATACATTGATCAAAGGTCGTACATAGAGACTCAAGTACATCAAAACTTATCTCAAGACATTTGAGATATTTTTTTTTTGCAGCTCCCGTCCATTGCTTTTTCAATTAATCCCCCGCGGGTTATATTTACCAATTTCAATAAAAAAAAAAAAAATAAGCCAATTGATTCGATAATAAGGTCAAATGAAACCAAACCCAGTTATTCTATGGTATTCTATGATATATATATATATATATATATATATATATAATATACAGTGTCGTATTAATAACTGATAAAATATTGTAAAATGTAAACAAAATATTAAATAATATTGATCACATCATGGTTTATTACGAATAATAATAATTTTTTTGTGTAGCAATTATGTCACAATACTTCTATTATTTATGCATAGATTATGTAATATATAATAGATATTATGTAAATATTCTACACATCATAAAATTAATTAATAATAAGTTATTAAATTATTTTAATGACTCGCAGTGTAGGATGTAGGTACCTAACTAGAATGTCTATGGATTTTCATATTTTCATATTTTTACATATTGTATATCTTTATACTTATATTCGATTAGATTAGGTAAGATAAAACATTGTGTACAATTAGTATCTACTTGTGGTTTGTGGTTTTATTTTTTTATGTTATCTTCAATGACTATAATAACGCATTGTAATATCGTGTGATAAAGTCAATAAACGTAGAGAATTAAAAACGCATAACTTTCTGTAGAGGTAATAATAATATACTAATATGACCATTAAAAAAACATAACCCTTAAAGATACAGTTGATCATATCGGTTTTCACATTTTAATATCCCCGAGAAGAAAAAGTGGGCATCTAAAAAATTATTGATAAAAAAATAATAATTGGAACTTAAGAAATACATATATTTTATTTGTGTATAATGTTTATGTAACAAACATTCAATAACTTCAACTGCGAGTTTTTTAACTAAAGTGATCCCATCAAGCATTTTACGATATGAAATATTTACAATAATATTACTACCTGAACCTATAGTCGACTTCGAGCTTAAATGTAATTTCTAAAATTTGGTATATTAGCTGCATTATAATATTATACTTAAGTAATATAATTATTATTAAAATATATTCTGATATTTATGAAAGCTAGGTAGTA